TTTTCTAATCGGCTTCTCCTCACAAGGGTCACGGTGTGGTGGAGCCTATCCTAGCTGTCTTTGGGCCGTTGGCGGGGTACACCCTCAACTGGTTGCTAGCCAATCGCAGGGCACATAGACAAACAACCATCCGCGCTCACACTCATACCTAGGGAGTGCCCATGCATGTTTTTGAAATGTGGGAGGAAACCAGAGTACCCGAAGAAAATCCACGCAGGCACAGGGAGAACATGCAAATTCCACACAGGAAGGCCAGTGCCGGAATTGAACCCGACGTGCTGACCAGTAGACCACCGTGCCGCCCACTTTGCATCTTCTTAATGTTATTATTTTATAGTTCCTTACAGTTGCAGTAAAACCAAAATGAAAAATAATTAAGTGCTTGAATGAAGTCGCAATGGTGCATGCAAGAAAGAAGTCAATGTATTGAAAGAAGAAAGTTGACGTCAGAAGCCCACTCAGGATGCGTGAGATAGAAATGGCTTCTTCTTCCTGTTTTTTTCTAAATTCATGGAGTTTGAGTAAAAGCTGGCCACGGTGGCTTTTGTACACACGGTGGGCTCCCTCTTGAAATAGATCGTGTTTTTGTCACAACACCACATGCATATGGACACAGGACATCAATTTACTGGAATACCGCACATCTGAAATAATCTGACCTCAGAACCGAACAGAGGCACCCCTCTTTGAGTCCTCCCATATTTGCACATTTTGTTGTCAGTGTCTGCAATTTATGGCACAAACGTCTCAAAATATGCCGTTCTGTGTGACTGCCTACAAATGCGTGAAACGGCACCATGCGATTGCACCAAGCAGCATTAAATGATTCCTCGTAGGCGCGATGTTGTCCTAGTTGCTTAGTGTAAGAATCGTGAATTTGTTACGTTTGTTCTTTTATCGCACTCTTTCGCCTTGCAGAATGTTGCATGCTGAGAAACTTTGCAATGTCAAACTCAGATCTGGCCCTCCACGTCATTTCATTCTCCGTATGTGGCCAGGAGAAGTTGTTAAATGTTTTTTTTTTAATTTTTTTTTCGAGTTAGTCATTAAAAAAATAATAATCAAACAGAGGGGAAATGATGTAATACTATTGGGTGATTGCACCTGTCCTCGTCCTTTATTTCCTAAAAAGGGGACAAATCTTTCAAGTTGTACTTACCTAAAAAGAAAATTGTTGACATTTCCTTTTTATCATCATTTAAGGGCACACATCCACCACACAAATACGACAGTAGCCACAGCAATTAGGCCTAAATAACTCCAGTTAATTTACATTCTCTTTTGTTTTATTATGCTTTTCAACAATACACTGCTGTTTTTCTTTATTAGCTCAAAACTTTTTTTTTTCGCGCTGGTCTGGAACCGATCAAAAGAATTTCAGTGTACTACTGCATTTTGCATTTTGTTCCTTTGATCTACTGAATGTGAACCGAATCCAAAACCTTAACACCAAGGTACGTTCCATACCGGGATTTTAAAGTTTATTTATTTTTAATGTACCACTACACCTACACATATTATAGATTCATGTAGCTCCCCTATTAGTATAGGTAATCATGACTTTGATATGGTCCGCAATGAAAACAAGTTTGATACCCGTGATCTAGTACAAAAGGGCAATGTGACGACAGATGGGTGAAGGTCCCTCACTGGGAGGTACTGTATTGAAGGTGCGGTGCTGCAAAGGATGACAATGAGCACATTGACTCCAATACAATACGAAGCCTCGTTCAGCAACGTATCGCATCAGGGCGGCATGAGGGCCGAAACAACGCTCCTATTGAATCGACTCGGAACAAATGAGAGGAACCAAAGGGTCAAATCAAAAAGGGAGACGCTCAAAAACAGAAAATAGCATCGCCTGAATCGTAACTTCATGATAAGCATACTGTAGTATCAGGATATAATTCTATTACAATATATATATGAGACATCAGTGTTTTGGTATTATTGCTTTGGGGCGGCATGGCTCAGTGGGAAAGAGAGAGTCTCCCAACTCAGAAGTTGGGGGTTCGATTCTCGGCCATTGTTGACGTGTCCTTGATCAAGGCAGTGAACCTCAAGTTGCTCGTGATGCTGGGTCATTAGTAGCTAAATGGGGGAGTCAGTGTGAAGTGCTTTGAGTGCCTTAATAGGTGGAAAAGTGCTATTCAAGTGAAAGACCATTTACCATTATTATAGGTTAGGCTTATGCTGAAATAAAGGCAAGCGGACCATGAATTCATATGAAAGACTTTAATTAAGGCGTCACGATGGGCAACTGGTTAGCACGAAGGCCTCACAATGCAGAGATGCAGTGTTCGATTCCAGCTCCGGCCTTCCTGTGTGGAGTTTGCATGTTCTCCCCGTGCCTTGGTGGCTTTTCTCCGGGTGTTCCAGTTTCCTCCCACGTTCCAAAAACATGCATGGCAAGCTAATGGAACACTCTAAATTGTCCTTAGGTGAGATTGTGAGCGTGAAGGGTTGTTTGTCTATGTGTGCCCTGCGATTGGCTGGCAACCGGTTCAGGGTGTCCCCTGCCGACTGCCCAATGAAGGCTAGGATAGGCTCCAGCACTCCCGCAATCCTTGTGAGGATAACCGGATTAGAAAATTGATGGATGGATGGACTTCAACTAAAGTTGTGAACTGACTAAACACTTTTACTTTCAGTAAGCATTCACTTCGGTCGACTTCACAAAATTCTACCAAATGAGTGTGGCGTAAACATACGGTAAATCATAAATCAGATTATGACAACTATGCAAACAAATCCGTGGTTTTATTTATTGAACTTTTCATCTTTCATGAAAAAAAAAAGATCTTTAAATTGGACATGGACTGCACTTCTTTAGCATTGAGTTTATGTAGAAACTGAAACACTAAAAATAAAATAAAACATACATATATATGAGGACTGCCCAATATATCGCAAAAATATTGTCAACCATATTGGCACGTGCAAAATGCGTACCCCAAAGACGAGCAGTAAGTTTCACATAGAAAAACGTCATTTCATGGTGGCATGCCATTACTATAGATATTGCAATATTGAACCATATTCCATGTTTTCCCCATTTCGTGCAGCCCTAATATATAAAGTGTCTAAAATAAAGCCTTTTTTTCACCCAAACTGCAGCCTTTGCGATTTGAAAATTTCATTCCACTACATTACCATGTCAATTTGAATTTGATTAATTGCTCGGCCCTACATGTGGGGATACATATTTTGATGAAGTAAGCTGGCAAAAGAACTGTCATGAAGCAGCTCCTCCTTGTGACGCATCCCGTCATCCCACCAGGCGGCCATGTGTTGCTGGCCTGTGTAGTGCGCCTCTGTGTTCCCTCCCGCCTCCTTTCTGATAAGCCCCGTTCTATGTTGCGGCTCGTCGCTCTGTGAGCGTGTTTATTTTAGAGCCTGTGAGTCACACTTCCTGTACTTTGCCAGTGAGGCAACGCTCTGGAACAGCAGGAGCCTCGTTCATTCTCAATTCTCGCCTTCTCTGTCCGCGTCTCTCCCTCTCGCTTTCTCTCGTGTTGTTGCACAGTTGATAGGCCCAGCCTCGCTGCTGCGTAATGCGGGGGCTCGCTTGAATGGATGACACTCTGGAATTCATTTACAGATGCACTGCTCCGGCAGGAACTGGCAGATATCCGTAAATTACACATGTAGGCACAAAGTTTATCGCTCGTGCAGACTTTCTCCCCACCGACCTCTCCGATAAGAAGACATACAGCAAGGAGATGCCCCACAATGTTGCCACGTTTCCAACACACAGCTCAGAAGAGGAAACCCTGATCTGACTTTTGTGTCGGTGGAACAATGATGGCTGTGTCTGCTATGTCGGGTGTGTGACATCAGCACGTACACAACTGTGTCTCACTCGCCGGTTACTAAATAAAACTTTTCCCACTAGAATCCAATTACAGCGACATGGCGGATTTTTTGTGGAACGTATCTACTATCGCAGAAATTCCTGCCCTATCGCCAAAATCTGCAATGCCCCTGCATGTGGAAATGGAGAACCACAATCACAGTCAGTAAAACACGTAAAAACCACAAGCAGACTCTGCATAGATATAAACATCTGGCCAACCTCCATTCAACCGACGTCACATACCACACCACAAGGCCCCGCCTCTTAAAGGCAACGCTCAAAAACACACAGATACTATCAAACTTACATAAACGCCTTAAAATATTTTATCTTGGTTAGAATTTTTTGCGGGGCACTCATCTCCCGCTTCTCTTCTGTTCAACCATAGAGACAGTCAGCTCCTTTATTCATTCGTTGGAGGTGTATCCATGGAATTGGAATTCTGTTTCCAAAGGTAGTCAGAGTTTGTTAATCCATCTTTTAAGAAGTCAAACAATGGCCGATAAAGGTGTTCACTTGCATTTTTATCAGCTTGGATTCAATGGAATGAAGTTCGGTTTTCTTAAGTGCGTTCAAACGTACTGATTGAGTCAAGCCCTATTGTCCACCTGCGTACCCGATTGCACGTCAACAAATCAGGTGGCATATTTCGGAACCATTTACAGTGGAAATATTAACAGATGCGTCCCATACGGAAGTCAACAGAACCACGTTGCTTGGTAGAAATACCGCGTTTTGAAATCTCTGCTTTGGCCAATGAATGTTTGTGCCAGTTCAAGAAAGAACAACAGACATTCATCTTATCAGGTCGCGGCGTGTGGCTTTTTGTTTCGCTCTTCCGGTATGCCACCCCAAAAATGTGTTTTGAAGCGATAGTGACGATTAAGAGCAGGTTTACTCGTTGACTGAACTCGACTGGAAGAATATCAATTGCTTTCGATTTCCTACCACGCCTTTCCACCTCCTCTCCGAACGTTTATACAGTACAGTGGAAACATTCATTTGGTGTGTGCCCCCCCCCCCTCCCTCCCCTCCATCACTCTGTTTTTACCTCACCCCCACCCTCTCTGCCTCTCTCGGCAACACACCCACTGAAGCAGTCATATCCGCTCTCACTTTCTGGCTCTCCATGCTTGTCTCACAGAGCCTGTGAAGCGTCTCTGAGGGGGAAGACCAGACTGCTCTGTCAGGTAATCTCAACTCTGTCTCTCTCTCTCTCTCTCTCTCTCTCTCTCTCTCTCTCTCTCTCTCTCTCTCTCTCTCTCTCTCTCTCTCTGTCTGTCTTAGAGACACCCTCCCTTTTTGCTCTGTCTCATTTAAATCCATCTTTGTCTACCTCAGAATGCTGAGACTCGCTTGACTGTTTTTTGTTTGTTTAATTTTTTTTTTTTGCTTCGTCACTACCTGTCAGATAAGTTCGTTGACTAATTTCGTAAGTGCATTGCAACTGGGAATTTTTTTTTACCTCTCCTAAAGGCAATGTTTGTGTGTGCATGTGCGTGTGTGTGTGTGTGTGTGTGTGTGTGTGTGTGTGTGTGTGTGTGTGTGTGTGTGTGTGTGTGTGTGTGTGTGTTAGATTACACAAAAACTACTTAACCAAATTTGATCAAATTTAGCAGAGGGGTGTGACATTGACCAAGGGAGAACCCATAAAATTTTAACACGCGTGTTAAATTTTTCCTTATTTTTGTTCATTTATCATAGCGGTCGTTCCCATCCTCCCCCCCCCCCATCCCCCTTTATTTATATGGCAGTGAGCAAACTCATACGGAATGTGCATTTCTTCCACCGACAGGACCGAAGGGGAACAACCTCCACCAAAATTGAACACATTGCTATTTTGTGACCAGTTGCAGAAAAGTCTCCTGCTCACTTTCTCAAACTTTGGAAACAATCAGTGTCCTGCAGCAGCTTAGTGATCGATCATCAGGTGTGTGGCAGGAAATTATCAAATATTACTTAATTGGCCTGACTGTTATATATTTCCAGATAATGTATCTCTGTTCATCTATCGATGCCAGTGATATAAATTGACGGGCAGAACAATTAATTGCTCTTCCATTAGATAAGCGTAAATAATTGAGCTGTGTATCCAATCCCCCCCCCACCACCATTCCTTTGATTCAGGTCTTTTTGGCATTTTTAAAATCAACTTCACTCTCCGGTCCTTAAGTAATTTCAGAAAGCTACTTTTTATTTCTTTCCTTTGCTTTTAATTATCTCTTGGCTGCAAATGTGTTTGAATGTCATTTTAAGGAGCAACTTTTGTTTTCTTTGTTTTGCGAATGTACCTTGATTTGCAACTAGGTGACTTGGCCTATAAAGGTTGGGGAACACTGCGCTAAGCAATTGAAAAGAACTACCGCAATGTGGTATTATTGGCCTGGGTGAAAGCGTGTTTTACTTTTTTCGTCTTCTTGTTATGAAATTTCTATGATGCACAGATGAATGAGTCAGATTCATTGTGTAGGTTGAGGTTAATATTATGTTGGCTGCAGGTAAACATTGAGTCATTTTCACTCAAAATACAAAAATTCTTGGTGAGCGCCTCTTTTGTGTCCCTCTGTCTCTCGTCTTCGCTGATTATCTAGCATTGACGGGCATTACTGTTCTTATGTTCAAATTGTGAAAAGAAAATCTATTCCTAAAATGAAGAAAACTTTTTAAAAAATCGAATTGATACATATATTGATCATTTGCTCATAATATTTAAGATGTTGTCATTTCATAACTTCACCAAAGTAGCATTTTGTCTGTTTTTAGGAACATTACAAAAATGTGAACATTTTGAACATTGTGAACAAAATGTGAACATCAATGTGAACTTACGCTCGTATTGTCAAAGCCTTGGGAAATCCTCCTAGCAAGGTTCTGTGATCCCAAACCTTCTTGCGCCGAGTGGGTAGAGAGTGACTGAGGGCTCCGGTATGTTTTGTTTCCTCAGCTGGTGTCCGCCGAGACCCGCTGACTTAAGTGGCATCCCCCAGCGAGTAAAAGTTTCTCTGCTTACGTCTGACATTTGCTTTAGTCTTTTCGATGTTCTCTTCAACCCGACCGTGCTTTTCGTGAGTTACTGAGAAGCATGTGGGACTTTGATTGAAAGCTTCATGGGATGGCATTCTCGCATCCCATTTTGCATTTGTCCGAAGAGTACTACGTGAATACGTCCTCTTCATCATTGAAATTAACCAGCTCTCCACTTCCCAAGAAGTGGTGGATGTCAAAGGTCATGCCAGCTTGTCAGTCCATGCCGAGGGCAAGCATCTCTCACTTCCTGCTGCCACTGTGTGTTTGTAGTCGGAGAGGATGCTGGGAGATAAATTTAGACCTCCAGCTCCCTCTCCATCTGCCATTGCTCAGAGTAGGTTTGTTTCCATGGGAACCAGCACCAGACTACCACCAGTAAGAGAGAACAAGGAGAAAGAGGTGTGTGTGTGTGTGTGTGTGTGTGTGTGTGTGTGTGTGTGTGTGTGTGTGTGTGTGTGTGTGTGTGTGTGTGAGAGAGAGAATATGCGTGTGCATTTCGAGAGGTGAAGAGGGGTAACAACAGCTTTTTAAAAAGCACTTAAGAGAGTTTATCTGTCCTCAGGGTGCAACGCAATTTATTGTTTAGCCCATATTGGTATCCATCATTACCAGCTGTGTGAATACATGTGGGTATTGATGAGGAAATGAACATGTACTGAGCTAAGTGTTTTCTTTTATTGAATACGCAGCTCTGGAAGTAGATTAGCGGGACTAGATGTAGGCACGTGGAAGTGTGTTCATGTGTGTGTACATGCGTGTCTTGCGAGTGCATACATCACAAACGAGCACTTCAGCGTGCCAGGGCTCCCCTGAATACGGGAATCTTACAGACTGTAAATTGCTCACTTATTCACTCTCCTTCCCTCAGAGGGACCAACTGTCAATCATAAGAGGCAAGCATTTGACTATGATGAGAGAGAAACACTGGGTTTCATGAATTCTTGTTTGGATGCCACAGTTGTCTTGAGAAAGAATAAACTTTCCAAAAGAGTTTTTACCGTAGCAGTGACTTCACATCGCTGGGGCCCAACTTCCATTGCTTCCATTGTTCTTGAGATCGCGAATGTGAAATGACGAACCGATCCATATCGCCTCTTCTGGTTGCAGCCAAGTAGTCCACCTTGCTTCAAGGCGTGATTCATCAACAATCAATGAGTTGATTGACAAACTCCTGCAGAAATCGAAACCTACTCTGTGAATTTTAAACCATTATTTTAAACAGAGCTTAAATAGAAAATGACGGCTTAAACATTTTTCCTCGGCAAATGGTTGAGGGCGGAAGGCAACAATCGCTCCGTAGACTGAATTGCTACGGGGGGGGGGGGGGGGGAATTTTTTAATTCACA